AGTGTTCCATCTCATTTCCCTTTGGGGTTGCTGTAGGTGATCTGGAAGTCTGGTTTTGAGACTTATTTACATGTTTTCTCATTTTGACTGGGCCAAGGGGCTGTTAGCGCCTGCATGGATTACCTCCTCTGAGCTGGGTGAGATGAGCCCGGGGCAGGGAGCAGTGGTATGGATGGTGACCCTAAAGCCCTTTCCTGTGGGCTGGGAGCAGCGGGAGGGATGATGGCCTGGAAGCCCCTTCCTCTGGACCAGGGGCAGTGGGATGGTGGCTCAGAATCCCCTCCCTCTGGGCTGGGAGTGGTGGGAGGTTTGGTGGCCTGGAAGCCCCTTCCTCTGGGCCAGGAGCAGTGGGACAGAAGGTGGCCCAAAAGCCCTTTCCTGTGGTCTGGGAGCAGCAGAAGGAATGGTGACCGGGAAACCTCTTCCTCTGGACCAGAAGAAGTGGGACGATGGCTCAGAAGTCCCTACCTCTGGGCCGGGAACAGCGGGACTCAGTACCTTGGTCTGGTGGTCCAGTGTCTCCTGCGTCTTTGTAGTGTGGAACCAGGTGGCTGCCTGTCTGCAGCAGGGCGATTCGGTGTCCTCTGCGTGACTCCAGGAAAAGCAAATCTTAAAAGAACACATTACTTATTTTGCTTCCACAACTACCTTAATATTCAATCTATTAAGTTATCTAAAACTTTTCCATGTCACTATAAACTTCTCTTTGAGATTCTGCTTTGAATTCTTATGAGTTTATACCTAGAAGTGAAATTGTAGGGCCGTATGGTGATTCTATCTGTAAGTTTTTGAGGAACCACCATACTGTTTTGCATGGTGGGTGCATGGCTTTACATTCCTACCAGCAACACACATAGGTTTTTGGCTTCTCTATATTCTCACTAACACTTATTTTCTTCTTCTTCTTTTTTTTTTGGTTATCGTAGCCATCTTAATGGATACAAGGTAGTATCATATTTTGGGTTTGGTTTGCATTTTTTAATGGTTAGTGGTGTTGACAGTATTTTTATGTGTTTCTGGGCCTTTTGTGTATCTTCTTTGGACAAATGTTTATTAAGGTCCTTTGCCCGAATAAGGTGTTTGTTGCTGTTTAGTTGTAGAAATACATAATTTTATTTTCTTTATCAGTTCTTTTTTTTTCAATTCAAGCCAAATTTACCAATTCAGAATATAAAGAAGACTTTATTTCCCCAAGCATTGCAAAACAAATTCACACTTTCTGTTCATGGATTATCTTATTTAATCTTCATGGCAATCTATGAAGTTATTGCTATTACCTTAACTTTAAGGATGAAGAGACTAAGGCCCCTAGGCTTCATTGTCCTTGACCAGGCTCACAAGTTGTAACTGGCAAAGCCATCAGGGCTTTCACCTAGGTGCTTCAGAGTCCAGAACCTGAGCTTTGAAACCACTCCTGTCTGCCCTTTGGCCTCTTTAGAGATCCCAGGGTGACTTCTCATATGAATGACACATTCCACACCCTCCAGATAGTGGCTGGTCATTGATGTGACCCAAGTATGCAACTCTTGACATATCAGATCCTAGGTACTGGATCAGAAATGTGACATGCATTTAACACGTACTAGCTGAATACCTACTAGGTTTCAGAGATTATACTGGATTTGGGGTTCCAAGATAAATAAAACTCACTTCTTCTCAAGGTGCACACTTCCAGTGGAGGAAACAAATTCAAAAGGCATGTGAAATTAGACATTTTGTCAAACATTATTCTGGGTGTATATGCAAAGGTGTCTTTGGATGAGATTCACATCTGAATCAGAGAGCAGAGTACAGAAGATTGCCTTCCCTAATCAGAAAGGGCCTTATTCACTTACAGTCCTGAAGGGAACAGAAATGTTGTCCTTTCCTTGAATAAGAGGGACTCCTGCCTGACTGCCTAGAGCTGGCGCACTGGGGCTTTCCTGCACTGGATAAAACAACTGCTTTTTGTGGGTCTCAAGCTTGCCAGCATTCAGACTAGAACTATACCATCATCTTTCCTGGGTCTTCAGTTTCCAGATTGCAGATCCTGAGGTTTCCAGTCTCTACAGTCATATGAGACAACCCCTTATTATAAATCTCTCTCTGTATATGTGGGCACACACATAGTGTTGGGTCTCTTTTTCTAGAGAACTCTGACTAATGCAGCAGAGTTATGAATTCAAGTGATCAGAGCAGTTGCAGAGATCTAAATACTCTGTCACAGGGCTTTACCAAACCAGGCAAGTGGGCCTAGGAGTCCTCAGGATACATGGCCTCCTCCCTGGTTTTGAACAGTCCTGGAAGGACAGTACTATCCTGGCCAGGCAAATTCCAGTAACCCTGGAGCCCATAGTGTTCAGGGCTTTAAGGGGCATTGCCAGGTATATGGCCTTGTTCATCCAGAAATAGTGCCTTGGGCACACTTTGTGGGGTGAACCCTGTTCTAGGAATATAATACAGTCATGAGAATGCAGATTCACCAGTTGCTTTTCCTGTGGACCCACAGTATAGCAAGGATGGGAGAGCAGGTAATAAGGAAATAGTGATAAATTGCATGAAGGTTATCAATTAGATATTGTGTTGGCAGTAATATTAGGTGAGATGCATATTCCAGGAAGAAGGAAGAGCTGGGGAAAGATGGGCACAGGAAAGACAGTGACCTGCTGAGGCAGGATTGTCCAAGGTGAAACTGGACAGCCAGATTAGTTCCCTCACTAGTGATATAGAAAAGTTTTAAATAACTTAATAGATTGAATATTAAGGTAGTTGTAGAAGCAAAATAAGTAATGTGTTCTTTTAAGATTTGCTTTTCCTGTATCTCCTTGTTTAAGGTGAAGATTATCTGACTCTAACCAGTAACTTCATTAACCTAACAAATTTACCATGCCGGGGCGAATTTACAATGTATATGGTCTGTCTTGTGTCTGTGACTTGTAAATAGGAACTGGAATTGTATTTACATATCAAAGACTGCTAGGGATGAGATAATGGCTAAAAAGGATATAAAAAGGGAAATGCTGAACAAAGGGGGCATGGATATTGACCAGACTGGTTTCTGGCGTTCCTGTCTGCTTGCAAGAAGAAATTTTATTACTTTATCTGAATTCTGGGTCTCTGTGTATTTCTTTCTGAGATTTCTACAACACTAGGAATGGCCTCTTGGCCATGGGAACGAGCTTAGATTTTATTGCAGGTGAGAGAGGAGGTCTCTGGAGGGGTTTGAGTAGGAGAACATTGTGATTAATTGTGGAGTAAAATGTCCCTCTTTTGCAGCTGTACAGGTAAGAGATGACCCGAACTAGGATGAGGACAAGAGAAAGGCACAGGCATGAACAGGTGTGTGGTATGCTTCAAAGGCAGAGGCAAGAGGGATTGCAGGCACCTACTGGGGGAAGGAAAGAAAGAATGGACATAAAGAGGTGGTGGCCCAGCTGTCTTTGAGGTCAGCAGATTGTGGTCAGTGATGGTACTTGCCACAGAAAGGGAAAAGCTGATAGGTTTTGAGCTGAGGCTTGTTTTGGCCAGTCCCTCCAATTCATCTCAGCATTGGGTTAACACTCTTTAATTTCCTCTTTCACTGTCCCACCAGCTGGACCACAGCTGGATCTGAAAGCCCTTCAGATTACCAAGGAAACACAGGACGGTTGCATGCATCCCTCCTCTTCAGCCCTGCCTACCATTCAGGGCACATTGCTGGGGTAGGTTACTCCTTGGTTCCTGGGCAGAGGTCAGTTCCTGGCCTGGGTGGGAATGGGCAAGTGGATATACTCTTGCTTCCTCATACCCTGCCCCATTGTTCTGGTCTTTCCCCTTCTCCAAGGACTGTCTTCAGGCAACACCACACATAGGCTTTTCTGACAGCTTCTCCTGTCTTAGCCTCCCCTCTGTGGTGCCCACAGCCTCTGGTTAATATAATAATCGTCCCTTTACTTGACAGTCATGCTGCATGAGCTGATGATTTTCTGGAGGGCAGGGTCTATATTCTCTTCCCAGCCCCCTAGCCCAGGGGCCTCAGTCATTGTTTGAACAGAATTAGCAAAATGAATCCATTGTTGGTCACAGCAGCAACAGATTGGGAATAGAAATTTGACTTTTCCAGAAGCTTCTGGCTTCCCCCCCATAAACCACACTTCATGCAGCAGCAGAACAATGATAATAGACTCTAACTTTACTTTCATTTCCCTGATTAGGAAAACCTTGTTTAGAATTAAGGGAGTAAATGAGGTGCTGTGACTGTTCCTTGAATAAAGACCAAAATTTGCTTGAACTTAAGTGATAAGTATTTTACTTTTATGACATGTTTGACATTTTATTCAAAGCTGAATAAATTACCTGTTCCTATAGTACAGACTTGGTGTTGAACTAAAATTCAAATGTTCTCGTGCTAATGGGAAAAGTCTGTAGGCTTTAATCACAGCTTGTGATTCAGCCTGATTGACAGTGTTTCCTTTTTTTAAAGTCCCTATTTTTCAAGTGAAATGAATGACCCCTTTTTCATTTTGCTCCTATAATAGGAAATGTTCTCATTGTGGAAAGAAATCTCTACAAGCAGCCGATGAAACAGTAAAGTGCCACTGCTGTGCCTGAGTGGAGTTATCATCCATGGGGAGCACCAGCTCATAAGGTGTACAATGCTGAGTGTGTTTTCCTGGATTGTGGTGCTGAGAGGCAATTTGTTCATCATCTGGGGAGATAAGCATTCAACATCATTGTCCTTCCTCCTCCAAAGGAACCCTTTGTTTTCATGTTAGTTTTGCTCTTCCTCACGCCAGCCATTCCATCTCCTTCAAGTGCAAGAGGACCTTGTGGGAAGAACCTCAGGGAATGTTGCTCAGTCCAGCCTGGGAAATGAAGGCAGGCAGCATGACTAGAGGCATCCTGCAGAGCTGCCCTAAGCCAGGGAGGCATTACTCTGTGCCATTTGATCTTGTTTCTCTCATTGTTTTTCTGCCTTTCTATGGTGCAGCCTTCTTGGTTCCCCAGTTCTCAGGGTGGAACATGATCACTGCTACCAGCTTTCAAATTTACATGCTGCAGACTAGACACTAGCCAGAATCTGACCTCTTTCTCCATCCAAACACAGTGTTCTTCCTGGGCCCAGTTCCTGGAAAGCAGGAGTGGGCTGTACTATCACATGCAGCTTCTGCTGCAAACCTCTGAGTGGGGTGAGGGACGGTCAGTTGCCAGAAAAGTGTAGTACACAGATGATCCAACAGGTGTTTGTGGCATTGATTCAGCTCCACAGATTCACTCCACAAATGGATGACAAGCTCAGAGACTCCTTCTTTGTTGGAACTCACCTTCTAACAATGAGATCTGAAAATAAGTATTAATGAAAAAGGGATTACGGAAGACAGAGAACATGTATTTCTAATTATGTAGAGCTGCAGTCAGACATAGGTCCCAAACACTTGTTACTTATTCTTAGAACTTGTGCTGCCGAATTATCTTGAGGATGCCAACCCTTCCCCCCAAACCTGGTTCCCTTTTCCCTCTTCAGATTTGTTCCTCTATAGGCAATGTCTACCATGGATCTGGGGCCTCTACCCTCACTGTTGGAGCTGCTGACCCTCAAAAACATTGTTCATATATATTTTACAGATATGGAATTGAGGCTCAGAGAGGCTGAACAATTTGCTGAAATCAAACAGAGGATTGAGAACTGGCATTCACATTTTTATATCTCTAAAATATTATTTCATCACATCACACTGTTCCATCCATGTAGAAACACATCTCAAGACCAAGTTGTTAGTAAGGAGAAGACAGAGGGAGAGTGATAAAAACAATGGGCCTGCAATGAGAAAAGTAGAGACACATGGATGGACCAGTGTCTCGCCCACAGCCCAGATGTGCTGGGCAGTGGATTGAGTTACCAAGGCTGAAGGACATGCCCAGAGATGGCTTGTGAGAGATAAGGTTTATTAAGAGATTAACACAAAAGGATAGTGTTCATTGAGACTGACTAGCAGAAAAGGATAGTCTGGTGGTGGTAAACTGGTCAGGACAGTTACCAGAAGGCCCAGGGATAGTGGGTCAGAAAGGGAATTCTCTTGAGCAAATTTGAAGTATTGTGGAATTGCTGGACTACAACACTGCATGACATTTTTCCATACTCAGTTATTACAGGGAGAGGGTTTTATAGATTAAACTACATAACAGTGAGATCATTTGTTGCTTTATTCTCTTGTATGTCTAGCATTCTGAGGAGCTTAGCATGTGGGCAGGATGCAGTTTCTACAGATGACACTAGTTGTCCCAATTCTCAATGCCCTCAGGCAATTCTTATCTGGACATTCTGGTCCCTGCCACTTACAATGTCCCCTTGACTTGGCAAGAGTCTTAGGAACACAAAAGGGTGCTAAATGCCCTAGTTTTTCTCAGGGATGATATACTCCACCTGCCATGTGCTTGAATGCCCTTATGATCTTATCACACTTGTTTTTTGCAATGTCCCTCAAGCAGCACATCAAGATGTACAGTGCAACCAAATCCCACGGTGACAGTACGGAGAGAAACAAATCATAGTAATCCCAATTATACAAGCATACAAACTGGATGAAACTTTCCCTCAAGTAGCAGGAAGAAATTGCTACTAATTGGAAATAAGATCAAACCTGTTTATCTATAGCGGTAATGTGAGTTTGTAATGTATACAAATTAGAGACATATTATGAATATTTATAAATATATATAATTTTATTTTGCAAGTGCCCAGTTACCTCCTTGTGTTGCTGTGAGCTGCCCTAGACCATCAAATACAATATGCCTTAGCAAAGGCTTAGTCATATTTATTTGTTTCTATACAAAGTGAAGGATATATATTTGGTGTCATCAAAAGAAGGTGAATTTGAGTTCAAGCTCATAGAGCAATTGTCCAGCTGTGTGTGTGAGCAGAGGATATTACTCCAGCTTCACATTTCTGTCTGTTGCATCAGTGCAGCTGGTTGTATATGTCATGGGAGGACAGTAGAGGAGGACAAAGACAGCTCACTGTATACTCAAAATCAATTTTAGTTTTCCAGGATTATCATCATACACCAAGCTTTTTGTTGTCTTTGGTCTATAAGATTGTTTTCAATGTGAATATTTTGAGATCTGTATTCTCCATTGGTAGTTCTGTGGGATAAGGCTCAAATTGGCTCAGGATGAACTTAGGATATTCCTTGTGATAATTATTATCAGGCACTCAGGCAGAAGAATCCTTCCTTTATAACCTCCTGGCTTTCATTTTTGGGAGGACTGACACAAGGGACAACTCTTGTTCTTTCCTTATACCTCTTCTTGTCTGAGAGTCTTTCAGAAGGCATTGCTGAGAAATCATCCAGTAGTTATGTTCTTCATTTGTTCCTCATTTCTGGATTGTTGTTCTGTTGTTGGTCTTATCTGGTCCCATATTAGAGAGGAAGTGACTGACAGTTGAGAGTTGGTGCCACAACCTTTTTACTCACATTTAAGCAACAGAGGTAGAAGGAGTAGCTCTTAGGCTAAGCTCAGCTAGAGTCCATTGTTAAGTTAATTTTATCTGTTCTTGTGATGGCTAATAACTCCAAACATTGAATCAGATTTCTTTGTTAGGAATTATACTTCTATAGGATGTTTAAATGATAACAGTCACCAAGTTTTCAAGGAAAATATAGAGCAAAACTAACAAGAGCAAGACAAATTCAGTTTGTATAACAGTTTTGAACCAAGAAGCATAGTTTTTTGTTATCCTAATTTTTTTATTATTTATTTATTTATTTATTTCCCTATTAACATTATTGGTACATTTTAGGTATAAAATACAGTTACA